TGACAGGTGAAAGATCCACCTTTCCACTTTGTTCTTTTGTTTATGTTGAAGTAGAATCAGATATAGTTTCTTGCTCATGGAACACTACATCTCTGCTTCTGATATTTTTTCGATTTTCTAGATCCCATAATCTGTAGCCAAATTCCTCATCTCCATAGCCCAGAAATATACAAGGAATGGCTTTATCGTCAAGGTTTTGTCTTTGTTCCTTGCTTACGTGAGCAAAAGCTTTGCATCCAAACACCTTTAGATGAGAGTATTTAACATCATGTCCGGACCATACTCTCTCAGGGATATCAAAGCCCAAAGGAACAGATGGATATCGGTTGATCAAATAGCACGCTGTTAGAACAGCTTCACCCCAGAATGGCTTAGGTAGCTTAGCCATTCTTAACATACACCTCACTTTCTCCATAATGGTTCTGTTGATTCTTTCAGCCACACCATTATGTTGTGGGGTTCCAGGAACAGTCTTCTCATGCCTGATGCCATGCTCAGCACAATAATTCTTGAATTCATGGGAAGTATACTCCCCCCATTATCTGAGCGAAGACACTTCAAAGGTTTACCAGCCTGTCTTTCCACCATAGCATGAAACCTTTTGAAGTATTGAAAAACTTCACCCTTCGTTCTCAAGAAATACACCCATAATTTTCTTGAAGCATCATCAATAAGCGTCACGAAATATCTGCTACCACCGAGACTCTCCACTTCCATGGGTCCACATACATCAGAATACACCATCTCCAACACATTCTCTTTCAGCTTCGAGGTTTTGCTGAAAGACACTCTATGATGCTTCCCAAAGAGACAATAATCACAAGGATTGAGTTTTGAATCTTTGGCAAATGGGATGAGGGACTTTCTTGCCAAAATCTGTAATCCTTTTTCACCTATGTGAGCCAGCCTTTTGTGCCACAATTTTGGCGAAGCATCATCTTCGACTGCATTCAATCCACCCTTGATCAGCTTCACTTGAGTTCTGTACAGTGTCGATCTCACTGTACCTTTAGCCGCTAACAATGATCCTTTGGTAAGTCTACACGTGCCGTTACCAAAATTGTTAGTATAGCCTGCTAGATCCAATGCATGCACAGAGACCAGATTCAGACGTAAGTCAGGTACATGTCGCACATCCTTCAGTGTTATTGTGCACCCAATATCAGTTTGAATGCACACATCACCAACTCCCACAATATTTGCACCGCTGTTGTTGCCCATCTTTACGCTACCAAAGTCTCCTTCTTTGTATAGAGAAAAGAATTCCTTGTGAGAGGTTGCATGTATGATGCTGCTGAGTCAACGACCCATTCAACACATGAATCTGAAACGTGACACTCTTCTTCTTCAACAGAGAGCAACACCACTTCCCCATTGATTACAGGGGTTGCGGTATTTTCACCGTTCTCTGATTTGTTGTTCCTCCAACCTCTGTTCTTCCAGGCTTTGCAGTTTCTTTTGATATGCCCTTCTTCACCGTAGTGATAACACTTGAACTTTGTCCTGGTTTGAGATTGTGATTTATCTCTGGATTTGTTATCCCGGCCTCTGCTTTTACTTCTCCCCCTGGTTTATGTGACCAGGGCTTGGGAACTACTTGCCCCAGAGTCTTTTCTTCTTGTTTCTTCATTAAACATACTGTCTTTGACTTGGGTCAAAGTCAGTTTTCCCTCAAGAGCAGAGTTGCTCAACGAGACCACCAGAGTCTCCCAGCTATCTAGTAAAGAACTCAAAAGTAACAGCGCCTGCAGCTCCTCATCAAGTTTCATCTCCATGGTAACAAGTTGGTTCACCATGTCTTGAAACTCATTCAAGTGTTCAGCAATTGATCTTCCATCCCGATATTTTAAATTTACAAGCTTTCTAATGACGAAAGCTTTATTCTGTGCAGTCTTCCTCTGGTACATTTGTTCAATTTTGTTCCACAGAGTATGGGCTTTTGACTCTGTGGCAACATGGTGGAATATACTGATATCCACCCACTGTCTGATTAAACTGACAGCCTTCCTGTGTAATTTCTTCCAATCGTCATCCTTCATGTCATCTGGCTTGTTGTCTCCTTTTTCTACAGGATCGTATAGATCTTTGTAGAAAAGTATATCCTCCATTTTTGGCTTCCAAATGGAGTAATTTGTTGCTGTGAGCTTCACCATGGTAGCCACGTTCTCCTCCATTTAATTTACACGGGTTGAAACAGAGCCCAAGTTGAGCTCTGATACCACTTGTTGGGCTCAGATGTGCAATGCGGAAGATGTAAATTAAAATATCAAGGTAAATTGGTGAACAATAATCTCAATCCCAGCAACTCAAGAATGACAAAAGAAATCTCTTGCAATGAAACCGGAATAATTCTTTTCTGATGTGGAAGTTCAGATTAAACTGCGACCACAGAGCATACTAAGAATATCCCAAATAAATAAAATATGCAAGAAATAAGACACCAAGATTTAACGTGGAAAAACCTCCAAATAGAGGAAAAAACCACGGGACAACCTTCGAACAATTCCACTATATTTTCAAGATAATTACAATATTTTTTCACACTCCCTTACACTAGAAATGTAAAATATAGTGACCCAGTGAGAACCCCACTCTTAAACAAAGAGTAATAGAGTTGATACACAACCCGGTGTATTTTTCCCACATTCACAGGATTTACTCAAACACTTTATTTTTATCTCACTGAAAAATAACACTCACAAGATGTTATTTCTTCTCTCTTTTTCTTTCTGCTCCTTGGTGCGTCTTTCCCTGATGAAGACCCCCACTATTTATAGTGAGGATATCACATAAAACCTGTACCATATAGCTACGTTTTTTCCTTTCCGGTGCCAACTAAAGTTTGGCTGTATGTGTTTGTGACACATGGTTGGATTCCTTTTATTTTGTTTGTTTATGTTTGTTTGTGGCTGGAGACAACCACTATTTTGGCTGGATATGACATTTTTATCACCCACTTAATCTATATTTTATTTTATTTTTAATTCTTGGTTTGAAATCATATATTAGCAAATTTAATCCAACAGATATAATTTAATAAAAAAATTAATTTGTTACTTTCGAATTTTTCTTTTATGTTATGAAAAGGTGTAAAGGAATAATACATTATAT